TGACTCATTTTGAAAACACATTAACCCTTTTAACTATAATTAGTGAGAAAACTGACGTCACGCTTAATTGATCTAATATGCGTATGTATGTTAAAGACAATCGTTAACTATAGAGAGTGATGTTTAATCATTAAATCACGCACATTTTTTTTAACTTTCTAAGGCTCTTAGGTCACTTTAAGATTACTTATACCTTGTATTATAATATACTACCCGCGTTCAGATTACCAAATATCAAATTCTTAAGTTTTAGATATTAGTATACTCTTACATTGCAGTTTTTGTATTTTTTCTCAAAAATGAGATATTTTCCCGCGGTAAAAAGTATTGTATATGTTGACCTGGATAACCAGCTATCACCATACCAAATTTCTTAAAAATCCGTCCAGTGGTTTTTCTGTGATGCGGTAACAGACAGACAAAAATTCTAAAAACTATTTATTCGGCCTCTGTATCGACAATAATGTCTATTTCAATAAGATTTTCCAAAAAATGTTTAATGTACAGATTCGACTTAGTTACAATTTTATTATATGTATAGATTTCATAAATTTAAAAAAAATTATGACTTGCTTGATCTAGACAAGAATTTACAGCTTTACACTAACATTATGAAATTAATATATCGATCACACATATAGGTAAATGACGATAAGAAACTCATTGGAATTCATTTATTCAATGATAAAGCGAAGGGAATTCGTAGTAAAAAAGGTGGCCCTTGAAATAACCCTCAGTATTTGCATCACTATATAAATATTTATTTCCGATTCATTTTTTATCAGTGGTAACACTTTACAACGGTACTTCCTATGATTCAAAATACTACAGGAAATTATTCAATATATCGTTTCAAAAATTAAAAGTCAGCATTACGTACTTAAATATTAGAAGTACGAGTAAAGTGGCCCAGTAGCGATATAATGCGTTTAACTGGCGTTGCCTACTAAGGTTGGGGTCGCAAACAATATAAGATACAATTTTAGCAAGTGTAAACTAGTGAATCATTTACATATGAAAATTTTTTTCCAATAAGTTTGCTAAAAATAAGGGTTTCAGAACTATCCATTTTACATAGTTCAATAACTTTGTCTTAGTAAGTTCAGGAAGTTCATTTTTAACCGACTTCCAAAAAGGAGGAGGTACTATGTTCGTCTGTATGTATCTTTTTTTCTGTATGTTATGTTGAATCGATTTAAAAAAATCTTTTTTAGTTCGAAAGGGTATACTCCCGAGGTGATTCCATTATCATCAAGTCAGGATCTGATGATGGGATCTCAAGGAAATCGAGGAAAAAGTAACTAACTAACAATGTAATAAAATCTTAGAAGTCAATTTTGACCCACTTCCCGGTTTCCAAGTTTTTATTAAGTTTAGTAACAATGCAATAATCTGGTACTATTGAGCTGATCTGATGACGGAGTCAGGTGGTAGATAGTGGAACTCCTCAACGGCGAACAGCAAAGACGAAATTTTGTAAATGGATTTAACCATAATAGCCTGTTCTAAGTTTCATCATCACATGGCTGAAACACCCAGGGTGCGTGTCTGCCCGTTTGGGTTGCGTTGCTCGGAACGAGCCCCTCAGAGGTCGAGGGAGCACGCGGGATGAAGTGTGGCATGACGAGGGGAAGCGCAGTGCGGTGCGGGCGGTGAGACAGCGATGTAGCGGCGCAGAAATCAGAATAACTAATAGTACTTGGTAGCGGTAATCCGTATGGGTAGTGGTACATCTTTTTTATCAACTCCCTCAATATGGGTATCAAATGAAAGGGGTTGACTAGAAGTATTCTTCTAGTATCTTCTTCTATACATTATGATAAATTTCAAATCCAAGATGGCCGCCACCACAAAATGGCGAATTACATGTCCTGTTTTTTTTATTTTTAATTTAATGTAGTTATAAATAGCATGTAAAGATTTTCAATGAATTAACAACATAGGAATTTAAGAGATGTACTACGTTTATACATAAATAAATATCAATAAGTAGAAAGATAGGTCAGTTTTTTATATGAAACTACTACTTATGGTAAAAATCCAAAAACAACATTTCTTCTGTGAGGTATGTGATAACTTGTGAATTAAACATGTACAATGTACATTCTATGTAGCAAAACTGTAAAGTAGATATTACCGTAAAAATATCATTTGTGCTTACAATCGCATCTGAATTTCGTTGATAAAATATCTAATTATTAAAAAAATACAATGTATTTTCGATTTTAAATGTTTTCTTTACTAAATCATATAAAATTTCAACAAAAATTTGCTTAACATAAAAAAATCTATTTTATTTATTTTCATAGAACTTTAAATTCAAAACGTATTGTGTTCATAATTCATATATTGTATATTTAAACGAATTACTTTGTTCTATTGATCTACCTAATATTAGAAATAATGTCTTAGAGAAGTAATATTATAATCTACTAAAGTCATAATTTATAAGGACGCTTAAAACAACTTATTTAATTTAAAGAAATATATTACATTCCTGATATAATACAGATTAAATGAACTGTAAAAAATTTAATTTGAAAGTTAGTGGCAGCTCTAGCATTTTTATGAGGCTCTGAAACCTTTTCTTCTATAAATGCTACTATAAGACAACAATGATGTTTATTGCTTTACCTTTATAAAATATACTTTTCTCTTTTACGCGCACTTTCTCTCATAAAGATGTACTTACCTGAAACAAGGAAATTATTTTACTTTTAAAATTCCTTTAACATAAAAATTAATTCATATATATTGTCATAATTTTAACAAGTAGGCATTGATTAAAGTTGGCTTTGCCTCTTGTGACAAAAAATTAATACAATATAGTAGGTACCTATGTAGTAGCAACCTATTTATTAAAGTTGGGAAATGTATACCACCTGTCAAACAGGTATTTATGTGGTGACTAGAAAAACCAGTATTACGCACTAAAATTAACGGCATCTTTCCCATCTTAAGATGGTTCCTTAGAATCATTTGGTTGAGTACGTACTCAAACACGATACCCCGATGGCTCACTTACCAAGGCAGACCACAATAACCAGAGGGTTGCTCTCAAAATCCTCTCTGTTAGATGAGAATTACCAGGTGCAACTCGTATAGTACTCTTCCCGAGGCCCACTCACGTGGGCTGCCTCCCAAGTGCAAGACAATAATAAGTATATACTATATAGATATACTTTCTGTTGTATTTAACATACTAATTAATTATTTTCTTATAAGTATTCACTAAGTTTTATTTCATAGAAACCCTTTCTGTTTCCGGGATTAAGAAAATCTGAATGTGACACGAATTATAATACCATCCTGCAGAAACTCTTTCGTCTCAAGAATTCTAAACATAACAAACCTTAAATGTGTGGCCAAGAATAGATATTAAATATTTCTGTTCTCAACAGCAGAGTTAGAAAGTAGACAATGTTTTAGCCCCGTATCTCTGAGACCGATTTATCTTTTGTTGGTCGCGGTGAACTGTCGCTCCAACAAACTATGGTGATTAAAACGAATAGAATGCATCAAAGGAACTTACGTGTTTGCACGTTACACTTATACACTCTAATGATCGAAATCCGGTCAGGAGAATTTTGTTAATTAACATGGGTGATAACTGAAAATCGTGTAGCAGCACCTAAATCTTTATTAATGGTTTACCTAGTATTTTTTCTAGGTTAACCTAAAAATTTATCAATGGTTTCCGCATAGTAATTATAGCCGTACTTAGAAATAAATACGGTATAGGGAAGAACAAAATACAAGCGAGGAAAATAGGTAAGGTAAACCTGTCATTTATACTAAAATAAATATGTACATAGATTCTCAAATAAAAAGTTATATCAGCGTGTCACTTCTTAAAGCCATCTTAATTTCGAGGACGAAGCCGAAGTTATACAAAAATTAAAGATATAAATAAAACTTTCAATAAATATTGTACCAGGAAATTAAAAAACTTACTCTTAAATAAGAAAATAAAACCTACTTACCACCAAACTAAATGAATTTATGGTACTTGTAGTAGGAGGAAGCTTCCACAAAAAATAAGAAGTCAAAGTAATTAACTCACAGTTTAAGTAATTTGTTAAATACCATGAGTATATTCTTTACTCGGTTCATCTTAAAAGAAAACTTGCACAATTTTCGATTGTCTGGTGTAGACTGTAAAGTATGTATTTATATTTTTGAAATATTGCAAGTTTTATTTCTATTGGGTGCATATTTTTATTTCATGCAACCATATCATAACTTTGGTGTATGATTAAGAGGCCGGGAGGGTAAATACGTTTCTTTTGAACTGACATATATTCAGGTATAAATTTACTTAATAATATTAATATTGTAGGGATATATTTATAGCTAATTCTGAACTGTTTTTAATAGTTTTTAAGATTTTGAAAAGGATTTTTTTTGTAGAAATCCAATACATATTTTCAAATTCCGAGGCTGCTATAAACCTAACCACTATATATGAGATATTATTATATATTTTTCATTTCGTTTGCTTATTATGTATTTCAATCCATAAACTTGAAAAGGTGCCGTCGCGCATTTTATTAAAAACTCGCTTCTGAATTTTAGCTTTATTTCAATTAATAATTAAAATTTGCGAAAAGCAAGGCCGCCATAAACTATATTAATAACTATTCTCTACCATACAATAAGTCAAAATTGTCGAAGAGTACCAGTTTCTCTGAATAAGAACGTCAAAGATGGACATTAAATTGAAAAATCACGGTCATAATGTAATAGGCCTCTTAGAGTTCTTGTGTGTTATTTGCTCATTTTTGCTAAGGTGATGATACTCTACAGCCTTGTAATTTAAAACTATTCATCAGATTTGAATCTAGAGGTTAATATTATTTGTTGATCATTTTATTTGCATAATATACACATATTATTACAAAATCCATATATTTCTTAATACATAATGATATTATATTCTATAAAATGTCACAATAGTGTGCTGTAAATGTCTGACCGACAAAGCAGCTCAAATTTACCAAATGCTTTTCGGCCAGAGGGTATTAGTATCTCATTCCACTCTAACTCTATGCATCTCATCGAAAATCTACTACGATCGTTGACCGTTGTAAATACTTGAAGCTAGGCTACAAAATAGTCGTGAATAGTACGTTTCAAAGTATACTAGCAGCTCGTTCTTACTGAGTGGTTCCACATTTACCTACATAAAAAATGCCTTGTATTTTTAGAATTTCTGTAAGATAGATATCTATACGACTCATAATCGAAAATCAAGTTATTTATTATCGTTGATATTTAAAAAAGATAGTTGGATTGTAGTTGATTAAGATACTGTTTAATATTTTATAAAATGTGATCAGAGTCTTTCATAATTATATTTTATTTAATTAAGTATGTAGATTTGCAATTTCATTATATATATAGATATCCTAAGCACTTGTTTGAATAAGAAAGTGGTTATAACACTTAAACTGGAAAAATATATTGGTGAAAGTTCATACGAAAGCAAAAATAACGATGACACACTTTAAAAGGACGCTTAAACCAAAGTAATCATTAAGTAGGCAAATATCTTATGACGAACAAAAGATGCAATCCACACTTTTCACTTGCCCCTTTTTTGTGCTATGTTTGTATTTAATTGAGATTTTATCAGGGCTTTCTTGACCGTCGTTTGTCAGGGTGAGCTTCGTGATTGGTTTCGTAATTTGCAGAATGAGGTTAATCGTCACCATATGATTGTACGAGTCTCTTTACATGACCATATCACTAAAACACATGATATTCTCTTATTTAAATAACAAGAAGTAAATCCATATGATTCACTGGATCTCTGCTTGCCTGGCTCAAATCATATTTAGAGGCTCGCTCGTTCTTTGTTGTTGTTAATGGTTTTCAATCTGACTTACGTCAGATTACATCTGGTGTGTCTCAGGGCTCACATCTAGGCCCCGTATTGTTTAACATTATTATTAATGACTAGCGAAGCACCCTCGCTTCACTCGGGTTCGTCCCTAGCTTGCTTCCTCATACAAACTTTCATCCCCATTTTCACCCCCTTAAGCGATGATTTCCGGGATAAAAAGTCTTTCTTTTCAGGGTTTCAAACTATCTTCTTACCAAATTTCATCTAAATCGGTTAAGTAGATCCAGAGATTACCCCCTACAACGTCACAAACTCACAAAATCACAATTCACAAACTCAAAAACTTTACCTCCTTATAGTATTAGTATAGATATATTCAATTGTTTTCTGGCATCTTCTGTGTTCATGTGTGCGGATGATTTAAAATTCGCTAAAACTATTGATTCCCTGAGTGATTGTAGGCTTCTTCAAGATGATTTAGAAATACTTATGCAATGGTGTGAAATTAACGCTATGAACTTAAATAAAGAAAAATGTTATCAAGTAAAATTTATTCGAAAATCAAGTTACGTTACGAAAAAATCCATATAAAAGAACATGCTCTAGAGCCATTGGAAGTTATCAAAAGTCACACTCTAATGGTGTGACTTTTGAAAAAAAAATGACTTTTCTTCCCCATATAGAAAATATAGTAAAACGTGCTTCTTATGATGCTCGGGTTTGTTATACGTAACACTATTTTTTTAGATATTACTTAAGATAAATATTATTAGTAAATTTTATTCGAACTTCATCATCCGCCATTTTTATCAAGACCAATTAAAAGGGAACTTGTTGGAGTAAAAATTTTTTACGCACGCTTGACTTGGGGGGTAAGCTGGTGAATGCGTGACGCAAAAGTTTCGAAAAGTGTGATCGGACGAGCGAACGTTTGTTGCCATAGTAACCGTTGTTATTGTCTGACAAATGATATATAATATTATATTCTTTCCTCAAATGACATTCTATAAATATATGATTGTAATATGCCTAATATGCGTTATTTAATTGGTTTTATTAAAATTATCATTCCTTAAAAAATTTCGTACAAGGTTTCAAACAATGGCATGACGCAATGGCACGTTACGTCCGCACTTTGATCAACGTTATGATAATAACCGAAGCGTACGCTTAAATCTAACGTCCAGAACGAAACGAATCGAACCTGTGTCCAAAAGCGTAATCATAAACAACGTGTAATGCAGACCATTCTCAACTTTGTATGGGTATCAAAATAACTGCGTGCATTTCTTCTTGTTCAGAGTTCAATGCACTTTGAGTAATGCATTGCGATCACACTCGTTCATCATTAATTTATACTTTAACGTATTATTTTATTATACCATTTCCAAACATATAATAATAGATATTTGTGTTCGCCTAGTGGTCGAAATTTGACCATAATCATTATTGAAAATGTGAAGAAAACATATACATATAAAGAGGTAAAGTTTCTGAGTTTGTGAGGTTGTAGGGGGTAATCTCTGGATCTACTGAACCGATTTAGATGAAATTTGATAAGAAGATAGTTTGAGACACCGGGAAGGACTTTATACCTAATTTATATTAAAAAAAAATCAACTGTTTCCAAATTATTTTTATTGATAGCACGTAATTACGTGCACAATCTCCAATTGGAGCTTGTGCACGTTTCTGTACACAAGCTCCAATTGGAGCTTGTGTACAGAATATGGACTACAAAGCAATAATTAGAAATTTTGTCTGTATTTCACGCATTTCATACAAAAAGTACTAAATGGATTTTAACAAAATTTTGTATAGTGGTACCATATTTTTCAGGTCAACATTTTGTATACCTTTTACTACATTAAAATTTCTCATTCCTATGGGAAAACACAATACAAAAATAATACTAGTATTATTGTGTAATATATGCAATATTGGCAAATGCGGCCGATCTGTCCATCATACAAAGAATGCAATAATTTATAACACAGCTTTTAGTTTTAGCAGGGTTAAAAATTAACGTATTTTTAATAATTAAGTAAGCTAAAATCTCTGTATCTTAATGGGAACATGGAAAATTCAGTTCGAACACCAGTCACTCTTCTATACAAACTATAAAACAAAAGCGCTATCTGCCTCTTTTTTGTTTCTCCGCTTATTACTTCTAAACGACGCGACGTAATGAATTGTGGTGAGAATGATACGGTTTTCAATAATAGAAAGAGCAATAAACTAGAAAGATTTATGTACATAATTTGTAAATATTTTATAGATACAAAACAGCTAAGCTATGAGGGAGGTTTATAAGAAAAACTTTTTCGTACGCTTACATGGCTAACACTAGCTAAACCACCGTGTAGTAGAATATTGTAGGCCCTAAAAAGGCCTACAGGAAAGTCCAGAATAGCATGAGTGTCTATATCCTAAGTTACGCTCATTCAAACAACAACTTTTATTTTTTATTTATTTAAAACGTTCCTAAGGAGTAAGGACGCATCCGAGCGAGAGGATGTTGCCAGTAAGTGATAAAACTAAAAATAGCGATACTCTCTTACTCATTAAGACAAATACTTTGTGTATCATGATTACGTCTAAAGTACAAAGCAGGTAAGCACTTCTCCATATCTTATCTTTAAAAATCATGATCACATATCAATCATACATGCATTCAGTATGAGATTTTTAATTATACTTAAGAATAAAACGATACATTCTGTAAGTACTTGGAAAACTATTATTTTGTGAAAGAAAATAATGGAAGTGACTTAAATTAAATGATGATGAAATTTAAAATGTACGTTTCTAAACTTATATTTTCAAACGAAACGTTCTCACCATAGATATAATAATACAAGTTGTTGTTGATTATTATATCTATGGTTCTCACTGATGTGTGGACTGTAGTGTATGGTGTTCTTGTCTGCACTACATCAACATTTAACTATCGATGCCGTTGCACGTACGACTTACGAGTTACGAGTATAAACGGGCTGGCAGTGTATGACATTGCGCAGTCAGTTGTATATCTAATCTCGAACAGAACAACCGTTTTGTCTGCGCCTTTTCTTTCGTAAAAAAATGAATAGGACTCATTGTTAAAAAATTTAAAATATACCAATTTTTAGGTTAAGTGACTGTGATCAATACTATAATAATAACATCTGGATTTTCGCTTAGTTTAAGGTAAGCAGTGTCTTGAATTATTAGATGAGCATCCATAATCTTGATGTTTACTACAACATACAAAACACACCATTACTATGAAAATTTAAAAGTATTTTTGTAATCAACGAAAATATTAAGTTATGTCGAAGGAAAGCTTAATTTTGAACTGAATTAAAATATTCTTCTTTGCTCAGATGAAAATTTGGATATATATTTTTTTAAATTTAGTTTGATTTGCTATGAATGTATAAAAACAAAACAAAACTAAAAATTTTAATCCGCTATATATTTGTCTTGATAATTAATTCATAAACAATTGGGTTATATTTTCTAATATATTGATATCAAACATTAATATCTTATGTATATAGATCATTCTTATTAAATATCTAAAGCTATTATAATTTGCTCAAATTAAATTCAGAATATACTCGTATAGTATAGCTATCATGTCTTGATTAGAATACAAACATAAACGAGAACAGGTTTCTCATATAATCTCCGTGACATTCAAAATATCCTATCACTATAAACATAAAGTGTTTGCATATGATAAATTAATTTTATGAAGCTCGATTGTCTTATATTAATTTTCTTATTAAAAATATTATAAAAAGTGTTTATTAGTATTGATATGTCCGTTTTGTTTTCGTATTTTACCTGTAAATAGTATAAACAAAAACCAATCGTTCGATTGGTTGACTGCTATTTAGTAGTCAATAAACATGTCTGAATAGTAAATCTATACATATAATAAAATTCTAATTGAGTCGAATCTGTATATTAAATATTTTTTAGAAAATCTTGTTGAAATAGTTATTATTATCGATACAGAGGCTGAATCTATAGTTTTTAGAATTTTTGTCTGTCTGTCTGGGAACGCATCAAGGGAAAACTACTGAACAGATTTTGATGAAATTTGGTATGATGAAGCTGGTTATCTGGGTCAACATATAGGATACTTACTGCGGAAAAATATCTTATCTCTGAAAAATCTATACTAACCGTTAAAAGGTCGAACTCGAGCGCAGCGAGGGTGAGTCGCTAGTTCTATATATATAAATTTACAAATATCAATATACAAAACACTTATACATATAACGGATGCGAACCGGTTAATGTTTATACGTGTATGTACATCAAAACCTCTTAGGCATCATAATTCCCTATAAGGCTTGAGAAAAATGAATGAAACCAGTTTCTGTAAAACAAGTGATAACAATATAAGATTTGTTGTATTTACGCACTTTCTCCTATTTATATTTCAGTTTTCATACCTATTATAGTGGTGGTTATGTCAACAAAGAGAAAGTTATTACATATTAGCAATCAAATAGTATTACCAAATTAGAATACAAAAAAAGTAAGACGGGATAATAGCCTCTGCACTCTATTCTGTCTGCCTAACCACATGTAATTCGTAAATCTTTACATATAATAAAATTCTATCTCAGCCGAAACTTTACATTAAATATTTTTTGGAAAATCATATTGTAACAATCATTATTATCGATACAGAGGCCGAATATATACTTTTTAGATAGATTTTTAGATTTTTTATCTGTCAGTCTAGGAACGCGTCGCGAGAAAAGCACTAGATTATAAATACTAGATATAAGCAGAGAATATTGTGATGAAATTTGGTTAGATGATATCAGGTTATCCGGGTCAACATATAGGATACTTTCTACTGCGGGAAAATATCACATCTCTGAGAAATCTATATTAACCGTCAAAACGTAGCTATACATACATATATTGCTGCATACTACGTATCAATCTTATAAAGAATGTTAATTAAAAAATTTTGCAATCCGTTTTCTCATCATTAAAAAAATATAATTCAACATTAAATAGGTTCTGGGAACAATTAGATACGCTTACGCTTAGATATTATCATTTAAAAAAATTATCAACCTCTTGAACAAGGCTGATGCTCAAAAGCATTGATGAACAAAGTGTTATATTATTACTAGTTACCTGTTGGTTCGACTGCAATTTTTTTATCGTTTTTTAATCGGTACCTCTATTATTTTACATTTACAAGAAAAAAATGGCCAAGGGCGACTCTGACTTAGCAATGAAAAATTCATAACCGCCACACAATATTTATTTACATTTTTTACAAGGAGTTTATATTGAATAGTGGTTAAAAGAGCTGGCACCACCCTTTTCCTGCACCAACTTTTGGCTAGTTTTTATTATTTGTTGTTATAGTTTTGAATCTATACAGTAGAGTCATTAGTCACACTAAGATTTTCTTGCTATCTTTTTTTTATAAAAAGAACCCTAAAAGTTTCTTGTTAAAAAGTTTTCTTATATTTTTACATTTTGCTTTATATCAATTTTAATGTGTTTCAAAACATCAAAAAAAACATTTTGTTTCAATAAAAAATTAAATACGCTTATTACGGAAAGTCGGAGAAGCGAAGACTAATAGATCTGAACTATTTATTATTTAGTAACATAATTTCATACAAAACTTGTAAATTGCAATTAGTATGTAAATGGAGCTAGTTAAAAATCAAATTCTACAACTTAACTAAAGAGTATTTTATGTACATGATATTCTTATGTTGTATGCAGTAGAGATAATGTGAATTTCATAATCAATCTTTCTTATAATATATTTTTACGTACGTAAGTTATTTACATCACTTATAATAATTTAGTACTATAAAAGATAGAAAATTTGTTTCTACACCACGTTACCACATGTTAAGTGTTAGCAAATTCTTCACTAAAATATGGCCGCTGAATATTAAATTGACGATACTCGTGTCATAAATATTTACAAATCTTAATCACCTTGAATGCCGTTAAGTAGCGTCATGTAATATTGGCATATTTATATTATACACGAATATTGTGAACATTTAAAGTTAGTTTACCGTCAACCTATTTTAATCCAATAATATTAATTGTTATACATTTATTTTACCATTTAAAAATAGGTAAATAAATATGTCAGGACATTAACACGCAACACCATCTAGTTCCATGGTAAGCTACGAGGCTTGTGTTATGGATACCAGATAGTTGATACGTTATACATATATAAGCAGATTAAATACATACATATTATAAATATAAACACCCATGAGGATTACAAACATTTGTGCTCATCACACAAATGCCCCCAGCGGGACTCGAACCCGCGACCGCTGACGCAGTAAGTAGGGTCACTACAAACTGAGCCAAACGTGTCGTCAAAAATAATTTAATCCAAATTACACATTCGTCATGAAGTTATATGAAATTCTATTCTATTGATACTTATGTATAAAAATCATAAATCGTAAAATTTTATTAAATTGCTGCAATGTAAGAAAAATAATAAAAAATATTGAACAATGAACAAGTTACGTCAGGTTACAATCTGACCAGATCTGTGTTGCCCAACGAATAAACCTAACGATAAAACGAGTACATATAAATATAAGTAAATTTATAAATCGATAATTTTCGTGGGTAAAACCAATTATATGTTTTAACTATTGTAGGTATAGATTGTTTACCTAAACGACCAGATGTCCTTGATCTAACAATTGTTTTTACATATTTCCTGTTCCACAAACATGACTGATTTTGAGTATTATCAGTTTGAAAAAAAAAATATTATAAAAATAAAAAAACCTGCATAATACCATATTCCTTTGTGAACATTTTTCATCTTTTTACTTTGCTCTTATGCAGTCGGTTTTTTTTTATTTTTATAATATATTTATTTATTTACAGCTTTTTAAGTACCTATTTTTAAGTAAGAAAATTAGCGAGAATGGTTGTTAACCAACTTTAAATCATTATATATCCTAAACTGTTATTTAAAATGAAAAATGACGAAAGAAACCTAAAAATTATTTTTAAATACCTATTCAATGATACTCCACTTGTCATAGTTCGTCTATTTTCATTTTTTTCCTTTTCACATTATGGCGTCCAAAATCGGCCATGTTCATTTTTCCAAATTCTTATGCTTTCTATAGCTTTGGAACCGTAATGATGAATCAAACGACGCGTCATTTATCAAAATCGGCCCACGCGTTTGGTCTAAATAGTGCCACAAAGGTACAAACCCACATACATACTTAGGCTGATAAACTCATTACCCTACTATGCGTCGCGCAGTCGGGTAAAAATGTAATGTTTTCAAATTAGCTTTAAAATAGAAGGGCATTTCGACGCCAAACTTGTAAATTTTGTATAAAAAAATCAAGGTGTCATTATGAAGCATAGAAATTACATATTGCGCTTCTATACAACATTATTTATTAGCCTTTTATATTGTCTTCACATACGTAAATTTCAACCTTAATCAAGGTGAAATCCATTACTTTGTATTAATTTGACAATTCAAAAATCTATTCATACTCGTATAATAAAATTGTAACTAAGGCGAATCTGTACATTAAATATTTTTTGAAAAATCTTATTGAAATAGACATTATTATCGAAACGGAGGCCGAATCTATAGGTTTTAGAATTTTTGTCTGCCTGTCTGTATGTCTGTTACCGCATCACAGAAAAGCCACTGGAGGGATTTTGATGAAATTTGGTATGGTGATAGCTGGTTATCCGGTTATAGCTATAGACTGGTTAGAATAAAACTACGATGATACTATAAGCATTTTAGCAAAATAACTTATTAAGTATGGCAAAAACTAGTAAAAGCGCTATTTGATTCATTAAAATAATTCCAAAAATATTTATTTATGTGTTATTTAGATATTCGTTAATAGATGTCGCCATGTATTTTTAAAATACGTAGTTTTAATTCCAAAAAATTAAATGTGATCTGTCTATGACTTTATTATAATACTACTAAATTACCCGCAGCCCGCACGTGTTCAAATTATCAATAAACAAACGTTTTGTCTTTATAAATTAGTAACAAATTAAAAATATTTTGTTGGCTGAAAAAATTAGTAAATTTTTATTGTTTAAGAAATAATGTTAATGTTTGTAAATCTTTTAATGTAAAATATTTAGGTAAAAAATTGTTTAGTTTTGGGTGATAA